GTTTGCTGGAATGGCATCATACTAATCCTTAGGAAAGTCAACATGAGCTCCTTGTCACCATTGTGAGGTAGCCTTAGTGGACCTTCCTTGGTAGGGTAAATGTGATTGGGTTATGAACTTGTTATAGAAACCTTTTATGTCAACCTAATGTATAAATTACTCTATGAGAATGAAGGCTAGAACCGAGTGAGTATGGTAAGGGAAAGTAGTTCTAGTTAAGTATGAGACTAGAATACAAAGTATGCCCTTCATATTCCTTAACCATGTGCCTAAATGGGACGTGTCCAAGTTCTACCATTGGCAAGTAGAACAACCTCATCGGAGTAGGATAGAACTCCGGATTCCATGTCTTCCTATCATGGTCTATTAGGTTATTGCCTATTCTCATCATATAGAATACCTATTAGCATTTAAGGAGTTTAGGTGTTGGTATAGGACGCTATCTAGACATTGCACAATAGACTTTGAAGATGTTATGTGGATTTCCTAGGTCTTGTCTAAGACCATTATTTGAATGTCCTTTATGTGATGTATAAGTCTTAATGATCTAATGAACTAATGACTTCTGTTAAGGAGTATGTAAATAAATAAGTACCTAATCTAAAGTGACTTAAGGATTCCTTAGCTAAAGTGTGGAGAGGCATAAGGGATGATCTTTTCATTTCTTATCTTTGGAAGTCTTGAGGATGACTCTAGTTAGGGAAGTTGGTTGATTTTGTGGAAATGATCTAAGCCTTAGGTAGTTTTAAGGATTATTTAGGTAATCTTGAAGATGTCACTATGGATGTTATCTTCTTGATTTACTTAAGTTTTTTATAGCCTTAGGAAAGAGAATGTCATATCATCTATGTGTTGGTGATTTATGTGAGCATGATTCTATCTTAGGGAGTCTATAGGATCTCTTAAGGGTGTGTGTAAGGGATTGTAATGGCGGTTGCTTAACAACTCACTCAAGTGAGACTTAGAGTTCATCTTTGGTAGAAGAATCTTACCTTGATGTTTATGATTGCTTTGTAATTATGTATATGACTCATTATAGGTAATCTTAAGGGTCATTTAGACACATCTAAAGAGGATGTATGGGCAGTCTCTCTTTGTGTGACTTAAGTGAATCTTAGGATGACGTTAAGTGAGGAAATTACATGCTAAAAGTATTTATAGATTGATTAATGATATTATTATGATTATAATATGATTTTTTAATGAAAAGATGCATATTTCCAATAAAGTCCATTTTCATTATTTTTATGCATATAGCCATACTTAGTATATGTGGATTGTACTAACTCCATGTTTTTATCTATCTATATAGTTCTTGGTAGGTGAGGAGCTTTGAGAAGTGAAGACTTGGACTTAGAAGATCATTCAAGAGAATTTGAAGTATGTCCTCACTTGACTCGAGGGCATATATGTGTCTTTTATGTTTTCATTCAAAGTATTGTAATAGACTAAGTATTTCTATATTCATATTTTGATGTATGGGCCGTGTCCCAGGTATTCTTATGTCTTAAGATGATGAGATTGAGACTTAGTATTTCCTATTACTTTTATATGAAAGAGATTTTGAAGACTATATTATATTTTGTAAAAAGTCTTAATTCCGCACTGCTTTTCACTATGTATATGGAATAAAATAATATGAAGAGGCTTATATAAGAACTCCAAGAGTTAGACGACGCCGGTCGCAATCCGAGATTGTACCCTAAACTTCTAGGGTGTGGTTTCGGGTTGTGACACAACCCTTTTTCTTCAGAAACGCAACTACAAAATCAAGTTGATTGAATATAAGTTTCGAGCAATTGAGTAGTAGCGATCATTCTTGTGTCTTATATAATTGTGTAAACATTAAAAGTAATAAATTTAGTGGACATCAAGAATTACTGATAATAGTTGATGACTTTACTTTTTTAGCATGATACTTGTAAAGACTATTGTTTATCTATTGTGAGAAGGATGACATAAGTTCAGTTAGACCATCACCGACAATGTTAAAACCTTTGAATGAATATTGTTATTTCTTCACATCAAATTGGTGACTTTTATCTCTTCCTCTTTCGCTTTCCCCCCTGCCTTTTGCGATTGAGGAAGATACTAAAGCAGTAGTGTTTTCTTTTACTAATTATAGATAGTGATCGAGAAATTATTTTTTTCAACCTCCTACACTTCAAAGGTTGTGAAATCTTCTTGTATATATGGACATCAATTTATATGTCATTTCATTAAAATATTTTTCTTTAACACGACTAATAAAATATTCATGTGTTGCTCACGTCATTCACATTGACAAGATGAGCATTTGATGTTAGATAAGGAAGAAACATGAGTAAAAGATTGAGTTGTTGCCACAAATGAAGTTCCTTGTGATATTTATCTATAAGGCTAATTAAAAAAAGGTTGAGAGTTTACAACTGATTATTATAAAATAATAAAGGTAGCAATTTATACTTATGTCGACACAAATGAACATTTTTGTTGCCAAAGTTGTACTTTTTGTTGACACAAATGAATCTTCTGTTGCCACATAGTAATCTTCTGTTTTAATATAGGGAAATTTAGCTAGTTAGTAAAAAAATCAACTTATTTAGTGATAATATCCATACTTTAATAATATTAGTAAACATGTCAAAAATGTCAATATTTTAAAAATAAATAATTATTCTGATATTATTAATATTTTCTCTCTCATTATTTATACTTTTCTCTCTCTCTCATAGATTACACATTTTCCATATTTATGTAATTGGAGAGATATTAATGTCATTTTAATCTTTCTCTCTCTCTTCTTAAACTTATCAATTTCTTTCTCTTACTTTCTTCCTAATCAAATCTCCAGATTTTTCTCCCTTTTCTTACTCTTCTTTTCAATTTCTCTCTCTACATTCTTCCAAATCAATTTCACCGATTTTCTATTCAATATATTAATATTTTCTATTATTCTCATTTAATTTCGTTGCAAGATTTGAAGATTAACATTGATTTGGGTATTATGTTTTTCAGATTTCATATTTATTTATTTACTGATTTTAGTATTTTCTTTTAATTTTTTTTGTTCTGTTGTTGTTCTTAAAATATTTTTTAGGGTTTGAGACTACATAATTCTCTCTTCAATGGACGTTTTCAAGAGAGTTATTAGAGGTATTGGACAAAATAATCAAAGTTCTTCCGATTTCCCATCATTTATTTTTTTTCACTCAAGAATTAAACAACAATGTAGGTTCCGCTTCTAAATCTAAGGAGGATATACGATGGGGAAAAATGCCTGAATCCGTCGATGTGCAAAATCCCACACAAATTCATAACCATGAAGTTGAAGAAGACCAATTTGTTGGAGAAGAGGTTTTTTTTTTGCATGTTTAGTTTAATTTGTTTAGTAATTTTTAAGATTCAAAAAATTTATGTTACAATGCGTTTGGAAGTATATATGGAATATTTATTATGTTATAGTTAGTATTTATTATTGTATTTCATATATTTATTGTATTTTGTGTTCTGTTTTTTTTGTGTGTGTGTTAGTTATGTCAATGTAACACATTATATGAGTTTGATTGTGTATATTTCATAGTTTTAATGTTTTTTTTGTATTCATAGATTTGAAAGTGTGTATTGAATTTTGTTGTTGTTTTAGTCAGTATGTGTTTTTGTATTTCATTGTTTTATTGTATTTTGTATCCATAAATTTGGAATTGTATTTCATATATTTAATTCATTTTGTATCCTTTTTTTTGTGATAGTTATATCAATGTACCATAGTTAGTATTTATTTTTGTATTTCATAGTTTTATTGTTTTTTGTATTCATAAATTTGGAAGTATATATTGAATATTGATACTGTTTTAGTCAGTATGTATTTTTACAATTAATAGTTGTATTCATTCAAAAATTATATTGCATTGTTTCTGAACTTGATATCTTTTTCTAATTTGTATTTATTCTAAAGTTATGTCAACTAGTTATGCATTTTATTTAAGAATGGGTACACCAAATATTCAATTATTTCTTTTCAATTTTATATTTCATTCACTTTTTCATCATACTAATTTTTTGTATTTTATATATTATTATAAAAAATTCTAAATAAAAACTAGAATAAATAGAAATACAAATAAAATACATATTTAAATGAATACATACAAGATTTTTGAAGAAAAAAATAACTATATAGGAAAAAACATATGAATACAAATATATTTCTTAAATGACTATATAAGATACATTCGGCATACCTATTGGAATGACTACAAACTAAAAGAAAACTATAGTAAATATAAAAAGAATATATTGTGGAATGAAAATAATTTTAAAAAGGTAAAAATTCTGGAGAAAAAAAGAGAACAAAGTTTAAATTTTATTTGAAAATGTTACTAATGAGTAAATTAAGAGATCCTTACTTTTTTTTTTTGAAATATTCTCTCCCTTGATTTTCTTCTTTTTGTTATTAAATAATTATATTCTTTAAATAAAAACAAATAATAAAAACATAAATAAGATACATAACAAACTAAAATTTGACATTTTTACTAAATATTGAAAGTGTTGCTAATGAGCCATCTTAAATGTTAAAATATTGACATTTTGGAAAATTTCCCTGATATATGGGTAACATGTTACTATAGATGATCATTCTGTTGCTCTAACACATAGGTTACATGTTCCAACATATCACTAATATGTTGCAACATAAGACACATCTTTCAACAAATGAAATATATGTTGGACTACTAAACAAGACTATTTCTACAATCATACGAAACTAAGAACAAAAGCAACAAAAATGACTCTTCATCGAAGAACAACAATACATATGTATTTCCTCAAAATTAGGATTTTGTTTTGAGTTTGTCAATTTTCTTTCAAAACAAAAATAATAGGTATCATTATTTAATTTTTACATCTATAAAACGATTTCTTATTCATTAACCCATGAAAAGTACTTCTTATCAAAAGTGTGTTATTCCAAATTATAAAATCTTTCAAAAAAATTGACTTACACGTTTTAAATCGAACACAACCTTCATTTGAGAAAGAGAGAGCGATGACGGGAGATGAGGAGGAAGAGATTAGGGAGAATATTCGTTGATGCAGTTGAATTTTCTAAAGAAGAAGAAGAAAAAGAAGAACAGAACGTCGGAGAAGAAGAAAAAGAAGAGAGAAAATTCTAGTTCTTTTTAATGGTTTGGATAAAACAAAAGTAGTTGAAAAATATAGTATCTTTGGTTGTACTTTGAAGTTTGTTCAATTCACAAGGGTGATTGAGGTGCGTGCTACAACATCTAAGTTTCACACAAGGAAGAAAAATTAAGAAGTTTTAAAAATGTTAATTTTATTCCAAATTAACTCAATCATATTTTTAAATGAATTTAACCCTTTAATTCACATCATTTATTTAATTTCTCATGTCATGTAAATATATTTGAAATCTATAGCAATTATTAAATAAGTTAAACGAGAGCAAGCAATGTCTGCAACAGGGAGTTCCAGTTTGCCGGAACCGGAGTCCTACCGGCATCTCGTCAAGGAGGTATTTTGAGTCAATACTTTAACAGGTCAGTTTTGATGTAGTTGGGTGGAATTCCTAATGGGTATATTTATGGCACCATAGGTGAGAAGTCACGAGGTTGCTATAGCTGAGCTCAGTAACCTTCCTGATTCTAGGGTATGTTCTTTTTAATTTCTGGAATTCTGCACTTACTTGATTTTCTTTTAGTTCTGCTTGATTTTGTAGTTCAATAATACTATATAGGGTTTTACCCTGGGATATTATTGAAGAGTCTTCAAAGTAGGCTAAGGCTGGCTGCACATTAACTCCAAGCCTGAAACTACCTAAAAATTCATCTCTTTAGGGAATGAGTGAGGTGGCCTCTAAGATGTAGAAGAAATTCAGTGGAGGGAGGGAGGGAGGCCATATCAGTAGGGAAGTGGAGCTGCTTCCTAGATGTATCTCATAGGTTAGGAGAAGTCAGAGTTGAGAGTAATTTGTCAATGACTTGTCGATTACTTGTCACAGAAGTGATCAATTGGGGAAAAGAATCGTGAATCACTACTCACTAGGCTAAAAGAAGGAGATAAATTATACACGATTCTTTTATAAGATGGCAAATGCTTGCTCAGTCCCAAATAAATGATTCAGAACAATTTAAAATTTACAATTTATTTAAACTAGTAAATCCTAAGTTAAGATATATACATATGCAGAGTAAAACATTGAAACTGGAATTATTTCTAATCTCAATTACATTGATAGGTTTGACATTGATAGGCAATGCTGTAAGATGAGAAGGATAAAAGAAAAGGAATGGTCCAGTACTATGCTGTCAAGAGGCTGTAAACAAGAACATAGGTGAAATGTCACTTGTGGACGGATTTCTTAAGTCAATCTGGATTATAGGGAAACATTTGCAAAACATTCTAGATTGGAAGAAGAGGTGGATGCAATAAAGAGTTCTGTTGGGAGATAAGGCACCGGGATCTGATACTTTTACGATGGCACTTTTCCACCATTGTTGGGAAGCATTGAGTATACTTTCTACTCATTTATACTAACCAAAAGAAGACCGGAGCACAGGACAGAGAGGGTATAAAACCTACTTTTTAATAGGAAACATGTACCACGGTTATCGCCAAGGTACTATCAGTGAGATTGAAGTTTGTTGTTGGCTAGTCAATCTACACATTTAAATATATTTGATTAAAGTCAATTATTGGATAGTTGACATCCACATTGTAGAATATTTGATTTAAGTCTGTTGTCGGCTAGTTAGTTTCCATGTTTCAGAATATTTTTGTAGAAAAATATGGAAGATCCTTGTTGATTATTGATATTTAATGAGTAATGACTGAGTGTAGAACCAAAACGTGGTATGTAAGCCCAATGGTAGTAAGGACTTACAAATATGAAGATTAAGATTGCTTGATGCACTTACTTGACAATTTGGATTTGGGGGATGAGGGTTCTCAGTAATTTATGGAATCCATAGTCCTTTTTTTGGTAGTACTAGCGATATAAGGTAGGTCTCCGTTAATCTTGTTGTCATTCACTTTGGTGTGGTTTAGATCGATAAATGGAAGAAATTGGAGCTAGTGGATTTGGGGTTTTAGAGCGTGACATTGGATCGATTCCTTGATATTGCAATTCACAAGTGTTGACCATCTGAAATATTTGGATTGTGGTTATATATGAGAAAATCTTCAGAAAATTAGTCTAAGAATAGCCATTCAAGACCTGAATGAGTAGATATGTGTGAATTAAAGCAAAAGACCTATGGTTCCACAAGAATGATAGATGGCGATCATATAATAGACCAATTATTAGTACTCTCTCTATGCGTGTAATCCGATCACATTAGAATGTAAATGAAGTGTTATGAATCAGCGTTGCATGTCAAAAGCGGTTGAAAAGATCTAAGGACATGTTATAATGCTGTGGATTGGCAGTACTGTTTTCTCTACTTGACATTCATATTAGGGCACACACAACTATAGCAAGTTCGAGGGAATGAAGGCAGCATTAGGAGTGCCTGCTATGTGTTTTTGGATGAAATAGAATGATATTAACAGGGGATAAGTCAAGGTCATCAAAAGAGCTTAAGAGTTGAGAGATATGAAAAAAGATGGCTTTTGTCTAATTTGTATTGTTGGTTTAAAGGTGAAGGGGTTTCTAATTCAAATCCAGATTTCAGTTCCTTTTTCGAAGTGGAAATTCATGTGAAAATAATGAAGCTAAACTGGAGAATACATGGAGGATTTCATGATCTGAAAGCACTGTGATAGAGAGAGAGAATTTGGAAATTTACAGTTTCATTGAACAGAATGAATTATCTTACAAAATTTTCCAGCTACTCTGTATTTATACAATTACATAATTGAATAGAAAATATCTGGCTACTAAGTATATTATCACACTAACTAACATACAGCTCACACACACATGTTAATCTACACAGCTCAACTTGCAAGTTGGCATTCTAACTAACTGTTAATATTCTATTTTAACTAACTGCTGATATCAGCACAAGTTATGCCAGTCTCAACACTCCCCCTCAAATTGGTAGGTGCAAAGATACTGATGTGGTGTGTCTGTATCAATCCCTGCTAAATTTCTTCCCTTGTGAAGTGATAGTCTATCTCTATGTGTTTTGTCCACTCATGATATACTGGATTTGCAATGCTGCTATCTGCAAAGCTGCCTTACTATCAAAATATAAATAACAGGCTTATTTCTGTCTTCTTTCTGTCTGCTCCCAATTCTTTGAACAATCCAATTAACCATACCAATATGAACATGTTGAAGCCATGCTTTTGTACTCTGATTTAGCAAAGCTCCTCGAGACTGTGTTTTGTTTCTTTGACTTCCATGATATAAGAGATTTTTCATGCTTCACCAGGAATTCTATTACTAACTTTCTGGTGTTAGGGCATGATGCCTAATCAACATCACAATATGTTGTCAATGTGTTATCACCATCACTACTCATCCCATTCGAGGTTCTCTCGTCATGTAGAACCACTCTTATCCCAATGAGATTTCTTGGGTTGTTGCATGAACTGATTAAGAGTCTGAACAACAAATGCAATATCTAGCCTAGTTAGTGTCAAGTACAACAGCTTTCCAATCAATTTTTGGTATTTTCTCTTATCTGCCAAAAGATCATCATCCTTAGTTCTTGTGAGTTCATCAAGTTCCTTTGTTGTGAACTTTTGATTGAACTCTAAACCAGTGTTATTAAAGACGAAAAACGCAAAAAAACTCTAAGGTCCGTGGGGGTTTAAGCTCAAAGTGCAAATAAAGCGTGGGCTTTAATTAGAAAAGGCACAAAGGGAGAAAAAAATTACAAATATATATATATATATATATATATATATATATATATATATATATATATATATATATATGTTTAGTCCAAAACTAATAATTATAAACATTATATATGACAATGCTATTGCATTTTTTTTAGTTATAAAGTGAAATATCAATTGTTTCGTGTTAATTCTTCATAAGAGGCTCATTGTAAAGGAAAAGTTTGTCTTAGAACCTTGATGACGACACTGAAGCGCACATAAAGCGAGGCGAACCGCTCAACATGTTTTGAGCCTCGCTTCGGGGCTTAGGTGCGCTTAAAGCGCACCTTTGATACACTGCTCTAAAGGTGTCCAAGCTGGTTTAAAACCACTCAAGCCCAACTCTTCTATCAATTCCAAAGCATATTTATCTGGTTCATTAAGATGCCTTTGTGTGATCTAGAGAATGCTATTTCCAAAAAGAACTTCAACTTCCAAGATCTTTCATTTTGAAGGCGTGTTGTAAGTCTCTTTTAGTTGACTGAATGAGTTCCCTATTGTTGCTTGTGATCAACATATCATCCACATAAACTAGGATAACAACAATATCTTCTCCAAGCCTTTTTGTGAACAAAGAGTAGTCCAAATAGCTTTGAGTAAAGCCAAATTGAATAATGCAGTAGTCAGCTTTTTATTCCATTCCCTACTTGCTTGTTTCAATCCATACAAGGATTTGACAAGTCTACAGACCATGTCAGATTGCTCCCCCTGGCTTGCAAAGCCTCGTGGGAGGTGCATGTATACTTCATCATGCAAATCACCCTGCAAAAAAACATTATGGACATCCATTTACTCACAGAAGCAGCTATAGACATAACAGGTCTAACAGTGACAATCTTTATCACAGGGGCTCATGGTAGTCCAGTCCTTCAAGTTGATTATAACCTTTTGCCACCAGCCTAACCTTTATACCTCTTCACCTCACCATAATCATGGTATTTGATTTTGAAAACCCACACTTGCAACCAATTGGAACCTTCCCTGGAGGCAATGAGGGAATGACATAAATCAAAGCAATCAGCATTAACAAATTTACTTCCATTATCTGACATAATTATCTTGACCTTAGCATTGAGCTGAGTATGAATCATTTGGAGAAATTGTCTTAGCATTACAACAGTCTTCAACTTTAGTAAAAAAACAAGTGATTCTGGAATGATCATCAGCAATAGTGAGCTTGATTTTATTGCCATCAAAAGTTGGTACATGATAGGGACCCGATACATCAATGTTCAACAAATCAAAGACAATCTATTGAATGACAATCTAGTGTGGTTAGCTAATGGTCAAACAGAGATCAAGTATCTGAGCATTGCAAGTTATGAAGAGGAGGCAAACAAAAAATTTCTCTAATTATTTTGCTAGGTGTGTGTCCCAGTCTTCTGTGCCATAAATCCACACCTATGTTGTCAGTTTTGGTGTACAACCCTTTGTCAGATGGATTGTGCTTGTGTGAGTTTCTGGAGCAAGCATATAAAGTCCATCTCATTCCCTACCAATCCCCCTGACTTGTCTGGTGGCGAGGTCCTGTAACACACAAAAATTAGGAAGAAATAGGACAGAGCAATTTAACTCTTTAGTGATCTTAGAAAATAATAGTAAATTGTATTTGAAGTGAGCTATACTCAGCACATTATTAATAACTCCATCAATATCTATCTGGCAAGAACCAACATGTGAAACTGCAGTCACATTACCATTTGGCAGATGTACCTTCCTAGGCACATTAGAAGAAACGGTGGATGTGTGTGTTAGTAAATCTAAGTCATAGGTCATATGATTGGTAGCTCCGGTGTCCACAATCCATTCCTGAGAACTAGTATTAACTGTACAAGCATGGGCAATACCTGCCATACTTGCTGAGCATGCTGATGTGGTGTCCTTGTCTGGCATCTTTAAGAGCTGATCATACTGAGATGGAGTGAGTTGAGGCATCTGCGTGTGTGGTCTCCCCTTTTTGTGGACCTTGCCCATTTCCATCATCCAGTTGCCAGGAAAACAACATTGTGAGCAGTTGCTGAATCAAATCTTCCTCTTGAACCTAAACTAAAATTAGCAGGATAGCCCACAATTTTATAGCATTTAGCTTTATTCTGCCCTTTTTTCTTGCAAAAATCACATATCAGGTTCCGTTTTTTCTTTGGCTTTGAAGAGGAAATCCATGAATCACTCATCAAGGCAGTCATCCCTGTCATCTCAGTAGTGGGAACAATACTAACAATTGCCCTTTGGTCGTTCTTTTTCAACTAACATCGAGCAAGCCTTGTTCACATATGGGACAGAAGTCATCATAAGAATTTGAGCACGAGCTGGTTCGTAAGTTTCATTCAAGTCCATAAAAAACTGAAGAATCTTTTGGTATTGCATGAAATCGATGATATCATGAGATTTCTAACAAGCACATTCTGGAATAGGTGCTAGGGAATCAAACTCAGCCCAATCAACTCTCAATTTCGAAAAATAAGTAGCTATTGAATTCAGTACATTGAGTACCTTGAGCTGCAGTTGCAATCTCTCTGTGGATCTAGAAAATTCTCGAGTAACCTACCTTATCAAATCGCTCTTTTAGATCGCCCCATACAACTACTGCACTCGAGGCATACACAATACCTGTGAGGGGATCCTTAGAAACAAAGTTCATAAGCCATGACCATACGATGGCGTTGCAGCGTTCCCAAAGATCCTCTAATTTGCTCCAAAGTTAGCCTTCTTACATGCTCTTGGACCTAAAATCGCAATTCACATTCCCCCAACTCCAGATAAAGTAGTTTTTAGATCCCAATAGCTGTAAAGAGATCAACACTACTCCAGAGGTGTTTGTCGAGTGAAGAAAGAGAGGATGATTGTGAGTCAGTTTTTTCGGCAGCTCATTGTCAAGTCCCATTTCTGATATACTGGAAATCCTCGCTGAATGTAAATATAGAATCGAGACTGTATTAATAGCCTAATAGCTCTGATACCATGTGAAAACAATGAAGCTAAACTGGAGAATCCATGGAGGATTTCATGATCTGCAACAGTGTGATAGAGAGGGAGAATTGGGAAAATTTACTGTTTCATTGAAGAGAATGAAATATCTTACAGAATGTTTTAGCTACTCTTAGTGTTATCGAATGCGACAAGCGCAAAAAAGCTCTAATCTATGGGGGGCTTTAAGCGCAAAGTGCAAATAAAGTGTGGGCTTTAACGATAAAAGGCGCAATGAGAGAAAAGAATAAAGTATATATGTTTACTTCACGACCAATAATTATAAACATGAATGACAAATATATGACCAGATAAATTGAAAAAAACTTATGATAAAGTGAAATATCAATTATTTAGCTTCACTTCATCATAAGAGGCTCTTGCCAAGAGGCTCACTGGCAAGGAAATGTTTGCCTTAGAACCTTGATGACGACACTAAATGGCACATAAAGCGAGGTGAAGCGCTCAACGCGTTATGAGCCTCGCTTCAGGGCTTAAGCGTGCTGAAAGCGCACCTTTGATAACACTGGCTACTCTGTATTTATATAATTACATAATTGAAGAGAAAATATCTAGCAGCTAACTATATTATCACACTAACTAACATGCAGCTCACGCACGTGTTAATCTACACAGCTTAACTTGCAAGTTGGCATTCTAACTAACTGCTGATATCAGCTCAAGTTATGCCAGTCTCAACAATTCAGATTTCAGATATTGATAATCACAATAATTTTAAAGTTGCTGTGCACCTGTAATGTCAAGTTTTTTTCAATTGCTTGTGCATTCTTGAAGTAGTGATTTATACTTCAATGTTTAGCTTATTTTCGAGAGTGGTGAGGTAAAGAGAAGGTATATAGTGAGAAAAGAAAAGAAATCAAGGAGAACTATATCTTTGATAAAGTTGTCAGAAAATCTCAAATGCAGCATCTGCCTATCTCCATCAAGTGAGATTGATTAGGGAATTCCTTAATGCAGATGTAGAAATGTCGTTGAAAATAAGTTTTTTGTCCTTGCTTTTCATAAAAAAGAAAAGAAAAGAAAAAGTTCATTCCCCTTTGCTCATCTTTAGTATCTTCTCTTACGATCTGTCAACTACTCTTCCACTGGAAAGATCCATCGGTGCTAGTTTGAAAACTATTATGATCCTCACAAAAATGAGTGGATCATATCATTTTTTGGGGCTAGTCTTAATTCCTATGGAAGGCATAAAGAAGGTGCACAATAGTGATAGCTCCTATTACTGATGAAAGGAGTTGAGAAAATTTAGCAAAGCTTCTACGTCACATACACTCAAGCATGGTACACCAACAACAAAAACATACCCAGTGAAATCCCATCAGTGAGGTCTAGGGAGGATAGAACGTACGCAAACCTAACCTTACCTAAAGCAAAGAGAACATGACACAATTTCTATCTGATTCTATATCTTGGTCCACTTTTCCTCTAAGTTGCATGAAATCTACACTTCCGGTGCAGCACCCGTGTTGACATGACATGGTTGTGGGATCTGTACCAGATATGGTCAATCTATTTTGCGGTAATTTGACCAAAATGGACTGTTATGTTTGATACAATAACAATGATCTCTAAATAAAAGGCAAAAGCTAGGGTAAATCATATATATCTTTTTCATCGTTAAAAGATATTTATATTAAAAAGCTTGCAACCAGAAGGTGCTCTAATGATATTTACAGATTAACATCACTGTCTGGATGGTACTTTTCAACAGATGAGCAAATTGTGTTCAACTGGTGATTGATGAAATATATAATCCTCCTTTTCCCTGTCTGCTATGGTCTTACATTCCGCTGTCCCTACACATTAAATCTACTTTGATAATTGAATGGATGGCTTAGAATATGTGTAGGCTGCTTAGCAGTTTTATTCAATCACCTTCCAGTTCCCTCTTGGGATTCTCATAAAAGATAAAGGAGGCTATGGTGGGGTGGTGTCAGTATTTTGTCCAGTCTTTATCCTATGAAATGGAAGTCTTTACATGGTGGCATGAACAACTAAAGTAGTTTTGAGTTTTTAATACCTTGATTCTTTCAACTATCACCAGTTGAACTGATGACTTGCTTGATCTATTTTTTTGTATTTTCCTCTTAAATTAGAAGCACGTTGTGCATGTATGATTAAGGTATTAATGTTGATATATGATATACCTTTGTGATAATATGATTCAAGTTTGAATTAATTTACGAGGATTTACTTTGTTACTTCATCACCAGGCTGTCTACCAGAGAAATGGCAATCTATTCTTCCGTACAACTGCTGAGAAAGCAACAATGTCAGAACAAAGTAAAATATTCTATCTGTGCATGGATTCAAACAGTTTTTGTACTGATCACTTTTTCTGTATGTTGTTTTTATCTTTGTTGTCTTTTTCTTTTGGACAGAACAAGTGGACATGGTCAAATCTAAGTTACAAAAATTAAGCTCCTAACGAGTCAACAAGTTCCATTCAGCTTAAGAGGTTGGAAAGAGGTAAAGAGTGAATCTCAATTACTTGTTAGGTTATAAGCAACTTTACAGACTATATACCTGTTGAAGTTGGTATTACCAAAGTGTTTTTGACTTTAAAGTATTGGTATTACCATATTGTTATTGCTAGATTTGATTATTTTTAATTTCAATGTGCTACATGAAATTACGTACTTGTGTAATTTTATAAGTAGTCAGATTTGCAAGTTTGGGTCCATCAGACCCGAACTGTCCGCTTCTCGTTGTATGAATGCAAGTGAGATTCGGAGAGTTGTTATTGGATTGAAGAGCACGTTAACAGAGAGGGTTAACTATTTTGACTGAAGACTTATTATATAATCTGAATTAAATTTAATGTTATTGACATATTTATTATTTATATATTGATTTAAGTTATGTAATCTATCTGCAGAGTGATTCTTTTGCTTAATTTCTCTAAAGTAGGCATTTGGCCGTTGATATCATATCACGATATGGTATCGTGAGATAGAATCAGTGTTGGACGTGTAATTTTATGCTGATTTTATGTCATGATTGATTCCATATTATGAGTTGTGATACCATATTCTCCAAAAATCATGATATGGAATCATATGGGAATACCATATCATGATTTGAGTTATTGTAATACAAAAATTGATCCATGACTTTATAATTTGTTAAAACAACTCCACATTTATATCTATTAACCATTTATTTTTCACATGTAAATAAAGTTTATAATCACGTTATTATTTTTAAAAATTTGTTATTTTCATCGACATAAAATTTATTATTCCCACTAAACATATAGTCACTTTAGCTCACACTTCACGAGTTCGTGAAAGGTGTTTCATTTTTGCTCAAATTATTATACGATTTTATGATTTTTTGTTTGTTTGATAATATTGAATAAACAATTGGGACTATTTTAATAGATTTAGAACTCATGAGTAATGGTTTTTTTTTTATGATTATGAGAAAAAATATACAACACCAAATTTTCAGATCACATGTCCAAACAAAATTTCAATTTTATCTCATGAGTTCATATCATAATTACATAAAAATAACTACTTAAGTTCATTAGTTTGGTCTTTTTATGAGCTATTTTTATTGTTTTATTTTATGTTTAACTGTACGATGACATATTGATAGGGGCATACATGTTGAGTTGGTTGTGGAAAGGTTTGGCTAATCAACGTACAAATTTTAAAACAATCTTTTCGTTACGAGCTAGCTTTTAAAGATGATTTAGATTCAACGTTATTTTTGTCATAATATTGAAGGAAGATCCATCTCGATTCATAATTTACTTGATATTTAGCTTTATTTTATATTGTCTACGTTGTCGATGTCGGATTCATAATTTTTATCACGATTCAAAATTCGCTCATGATAGCATCTTCACTAACTCACTGATAGGCGATATGTTAGTTGGTCATTCGCCCATATCAAATATCAAATCAATAAGCGGAGTAATAATGACTTAAGTGGAGTCTCAACGATAGCAAGTTTCATATGATAATTAGAGTGCAGATAACATGTTATACTAAAGGTGTCACAGGTTACAGGTATAAGAACTTTAAAGACTTGGGTGTGTGTTTGGTATCTACAATATTTTTATAATTTTTTTTTTGTGTAAATTTTTTCTAATTTTCTCATTTTTGATTAGTTTAAATGTTTTTTCAAATTACTTATTTTCCTCAAATTTACGGAAAATGACCTCTCTTCAACAATTAAAAGACACATTTTTTGAAACAGTCCTTCAATCTCAAATTACAATTATTTTTTTCTTACCTCACGTACAAAAAAAAATGCATTAAAAATCAATTTATTTTATCCCTATTCGGGTCCATCTATCCCAAACCAGCCCCTCTCCATTCCAAAAAAAAACTTAATAACTTAAGATAATATGTTTGAATAATAGTTTAAATTTTAAAATTTGGGTTTTTGCTCCGCGCAACCCCTGACGACCCCTACCCTCCCCCTCCACAAAATAAATGAAAAGTTGTTCAAAAAATTTCATTTTCTTTTAACACACACATACCAACCTATCCCTCCCCCTCCCCCCTACCCCTCCTCCCTCCAAAAAAATAAAAATAAATTAAAGATAGTTTTAAAAAAATTTTAATTTTAAAATTTAATTTTTCCACCCCACCCTCTATCACCGATCCCCCCCCCCCCCAAAAAAAATGAAAATTTGTTTTAGAAAATATTTTCTAAATGAAATTTAATTTTTTATTATTAATTTTTAAATCTCAGTTGAAAGTTAGGTTTCAAATCGGGTGTGGTTGGATCCTGGTTCGGAAGTTAGGGTCAAAATTTTGATTTGAAAGTCGAATCTTGGGTCTTGTATCGATTGTTGCTTGTCAGGGTCGGATCTTGATTTGAAAGTTGGGTCTTTACATGTGTGTTGAAGTCCAAGCCTGGATTGATGTATCATGTTCAAGTTTGGGTGTCGAGGTCAGGTTCTAGGTCGAATATTTGGTTCTAATTCAAATGTCGGGTATTGGGTCAATAGTTGGGATCAACACCTAGTTCGGATTTTGAATGTGTTGTTGGGGTTGTCTCCTAGTTTGCGTGTCGAGGTGATGACACTCAAAGTACTCTCTAAACATATCCAAAGAGTATGCAATCGTCGTCAATATAAAATATCAAGTAAGAGTTGGGGTCGAATTCCACAAAAAGTGATCTAGTATGAAGAATTCAATCAAGAAATTTAGAAGGTAAATCAATTCATATGTAGTAATAAGAACAATGGGTGAATGATTCCACCAAATTTGTGAAATGACTTTTGGTATGATGAGTCACAATTAAACTAAAATTTCATAAATTTAAATAAGTAACAAGTAATCTAAGGGTGCGAGGATTGAAAATTGATATGACAGAGGGGTAATTTTGTTGCTATATAATGCTGAATACTAATGGATAGGCTAGGTCATCTTTGATGACACTAATCTTCTTTTAATCTCATAACATCAGTTTATACAATGTTCTTTTGGTCTCATCTATGTGCCATATTATACCTAGGATATACGTAGGGTAGTGATAGTGTTTCAATGATTCCTTTCTGTCCCGAACGTTGAGTATGAATGATTTGCATGTGTGATTTGTGTGCACAGGGTTCTTAACAAATCTAGAGGGTCCTTTTGATTAGGGTTTTGTATCGGTGATCACGAACAAGCTCGACTAATCTTCCAGAACAATTTGATGCAGAATCCAAGCCAAAAGGAGAGAAGAAGCACAACTCAACGGATCGCTGAGTCGATCGGCGATCTCAACTTATCTCGTTGACTGGACTCCACCTGAGATTTCGGGAACACATTAATTCATTTTTTTAAAAGAAGAAAGGGAGTTTCGATAGAGGGTATTTCTCAGTCTTTGAGAGTGTTTACATTTTCACTTCGTTGAACATTCTTTAAGAATATTTGAATCTCAAATTTGAGGTTTTAGGATTCTAGCTTTAATTTTTGCATTGAGTATTGCAGGTTAACAATTTAGATGGATAACATTTTTTGTAACGATTTCTTACTTTTCGCGACGTTTGGCTAAAACTCGTTACATTAGGGGTGTGATCATGTAGTCGAATGCATTAAGTAGGTAATAGGTAATTTTAATTGTTGAATTCAATGTTGTTTTGAAATGGTTCAATTATTTTTTCATGTTTTAATAGATGACTGAAGTTGCAAAATTTGGTTCTAGATTAGCTCTTTATGCTTGCTTGAGAAAGAGCTATTAGAGTAGAGTAAATGATTCATAGTTATATTGATTTGTATCATTACGATTCAACTTGATAAAATGGGTTAATTGAGGAGTTGAGTTATTTGGTATTGTTAATCTTGTTGAGGTTTGAGAGATCTCAGTTGAAACATGGTAGTTGGTCGAGAGATAACTATAGTATTCAAATATTATCCTATTCATGGAGATTCAACAACTTGAAGGAATTAGTAATTATCCATTAAGCGAAATTAGCATTTGATTGATTACATTATTTCCCATGTTAATAGTTCCTTCTTATTAATTAGTACTTAATTCCCCCCATTTGATATTGGTAATTGAAACTTAGTGATTTATTTTATGTTGCACAATCTCTTACTTCTACAAACGATTAAAACATGTCCTCACTTTATAATCGAGTTCTTTACTGTATCACAACCTTAGGGATCGACCCAAACTCATAGTTGGATTCATACTTCTTAGTGAGCTCCTACACTTTGAATCGAAAGAAGTGTAGCTTAGTAGTATCAAAAATGATGTTGTTGCGGGGAAGTGGTGTTTAAAGTCTTTTATTGAAGTGTTTTTGTGAACTAATTTTGTTGTAGTAGAATTTTCTTATTTGTGTTTCTTTGTTGATAGATCTAAACAGGTGAAGAGATAAGTGTGAACGGGAGAAATGCAAATCAACTTGGGAATCATGATAACATCAGAAACTTGAATGATGTCAGTATGGATCAATTGGGAAGTGTTGGTGCTATTTGATGGCCTCAAACTATGGGCAATGCGATTTTTCATATGACCAGTTCTATGTTGCGGTTGTTGCAAATGAAAGGTCTCTTTAAGGACTTGCTCATGAAGAACCTGATGACTATATTCACAATTTTGTGGATGTGTTGGACTGTGTTCCTTTAAGAACATCACTCAAGAGTCAGTCTAACTCCATTTGTTTCCCTTTTCTCTAATAAGAGAAGCAACGAAGTGGTTAACCAAACTACCAAGGGAATCCATCACTCCTTCTGAAAATCTCATAAAAGTATTTTATGAAAGATTCTTCCCTCCCTCGAATATGGTGAGTTGAGGGATAATCTTGATGTACTAGGATATTCGAGTATAACTAACGCTTAAAAACAAAGAAGTAATACTAGAATCGAGTGTATTTTGTATGTTTTGATATATTTGTTGATGATGTAGGAAGAGTCGGGAAAATATTAAAAAGAGAAGAAAAGAAGTAAAAATCACGACCATCTTGACGGTTCATGGTCCACTTCATGGATCGGTAAAAGTGATGCCAGTATTTGGATTCTGAAGACCCACATTTGAAAGAGGTGAAGTGAAGACCACAGACAACTTCAGGGACTGTGCTCACTTTAACGATCTGTGGTCCAGCTCGTGAAAATATTCCTAAGAGTAGTGTAATTGTCCAGAGTTTGATAAATTTAAAGTGAATACCACAGACATCATCACAGATCGTAACCGCTTTAACGGTTCGTGGTACAGTTCGTGAACAAGATATCATAAACTAGTATAAGTGTTCAGAGTATGAGAAATTAAAGTGCAAACCATGAACTTATTCATGGACCGTAATCACTTTGACGGTCCATGGTCCAGTTTGTGAACAAGATTCCAGAGAATAAGCTAAAAGTTCAGGTTTTGGAAAGTTGAAGGCAAGATCACAGACAA